GATGGACAAATTTACTAAGCAATAATCCAAGCTTTCCATGGAGGAGACATGAAAAGGAAAAGAGTCTTAGAACGAAATTGGTAACTGAATGGTATTTACTAATACTTAAACACAGTTTGCACGGTAAATAGTCAAGGCCATAAAAGAGAGAATTCCAGGTTATTTGAAACGTTTTAAAAACTTGTGTATGTAATTTTCATCATTATGATATTGAGAGGCTACTATACAATTCATGACGTACGAACTAAAAAGGCACCAAGCAGGTAAAGCAAACAACCTGAAGAGAACAAGTGGATTAACGCGCACATGATTTATTCAAAAAACATATTTACTCAGAGGTAATGCCCGATCTTCCAACTGGACATGACATGACATTCTGTAACCCAATAGCTCTGCTGTTTTTTTCTTCATTTCCAAGCTAACTGGACAAGGCAGAATCCTAACAGAATGAACTGTTACACTCGCTGTCCTGTTGTCTAATCGAGGAAACTTATTAACCCAAGAAAAGTAACACGAATGCAAGAAGAGCCTCCTTATTCTCTCCAATGCTAACGTTTACATATGTCTCATAATTGGTCGTCATGCTTGGTTAATCACTAGAAATCTTTTGTCATGAAACAAACCGAAGGAACTCGTGGTTTATCTGAAATTTTGCATGTCCACTCTATCGCTGCTCCATTCCCTTTAAGTGCTTTCACTGGAACTCAGTTCCTTCAAATGACGTAATAATCAGGATGCTTAGAAAAACACCAGGATTTGGCTCTTTTAAAATCGGCGATTCGCAGCGTCAAAAGCTCTGAGAGCAATTACATGTTATTGATGTGCATATTCAGTCAATTGGACTAATAATCAAATGGCTTTGTTCGCAATATCACCGTATTTTTTTCCTTCACTCTTAACGATTAAGTTTGCAGTGGAAGTCTTCCTTTGGCGATCTAAGCAAAAATTATGTTACGCCCTTAACTTTTCTACCCTGATAGTTTAACTTTAAGAAACTGAAATACCACTCAAAGAGGTTTGCAGTAAAGTAACCTAGTGACCTATGATTACAACATTCCGAGCTTTATCTTGCATAATAAAAGTAATCCCTCCTATCCTTTGGAGCCGGAATGGTCTCTTTTGTTCGAATATGTGA